ATTGTTTTTTTGGTTAAAGTTCAGTAGTTTTGGAATGAATTTTGCTGCCACCCGTTTCATGCCCAAAACATTTGAAAAAATGTTATGACATGAGCCAATTGATATGGCAACTTCATCAGTAACTTCTCTAATTGTGATTCGGCGATCATTCAGAACCATTTTTTCCACTTTTTTCACATTTTCATCGATTGTTGACGTGCTGGGTTGACCGGAGCGTTCGTCATCTTCAACGTCTTCGCGGCCATCTTGGAAACGCTTATACCACTCGTAAACACTTGTTTTTTTCATAGCTGACTCACCATATGTTTTTTGTAACATTTCACACACTTTGTTACACTTTATTTCATTTTTTACACAAAATTTAATACAAATTCTTTGATCCATTTCTTTTAAAAAACAAAAATCGCCGAGCTCATAAAAACACGTCAAACCTTAGCGACTACCGCAGACATAGTAAACAGTGAATATAGCTGAAAATTTTATGATACTTCAGGGGCATGTATACCAACACAATAAAAAAAAATTTTGACAATCGGACTCTCCAGGCCCGCGAAATTTAAAAATTCCGGGAATTTTTTGAACACACCTCGTATGGCATCAACCATTCAACCTTAGTTAAATTAATTTTTTATTTTTCTGAAGCAGCAGAAATCCCTATTGGAGTACTTAAAATAGCATTCAAATCATCTCTTGATCTTGTGAGAATAAGTTCATGCTTGACATTGAATACAATTTTCCGATATTCTTCAGCAAAGCCCATCAACATACTGAGAGGGATAGTTACATCAAAAAAACCTAGAGTATTACATATAAAAACTTCATTGTTATCACCCTTCCAATCAGCATTTTCAGCGATAAAGCTTTGACATGGATTGAGGGAAAGCTAATTTATCATGAGGCTTAGCAAGCCGACATTTTTGACTTTATCAATTTCAATAGCATTCATTTCATATGGCATTTCCTCGAACAAATTCTTGACCAATAAAGTGTTCTTTACTGGCATAGTACTGTCCGACTTGGTCAATCGACCACAAATATGAATCATACTGCGTGATGGAAACAGAGATAAATCTTGATGTTGAATTGTGATAAGAACTTCATCATTATTATTGAAATGTCATAATCAATAAGGTTGATGCGTATGAACTTCGTAAAAAGCTATCGACTCATCGAAAGCGATACCTGAATGAATATTCAGAATTTCGTCCATTTTGTTGTAAGCAACGCACTAATATACACGATACTTTGCGCCAGCTGTATTTTCTATTACATTTAGTCCTAGACTTTTCAGGAACTGAATGTTCTGACGTGAGAGCGCTGCGGTAGCTCTCGGTCAACTAATCGCTGATTGACAATGCAGTCTATTCATATATTCTCGTTGAATTTTATTGTTGTTAAATATGATTCCCATCACGATATTGCTTTGATGTAAACACGTACTGTGATGACTTCTCCTCGAAAATTAACTAGGTTTCCGTCTTGATCAACAATACTTATTTCTAAATGATTAATACTTCTCACGGCGACTGGTAAATAAATTTTATGTTAAGGTACATCAAAGATTTCATATTCTGGTGGTACTGCTGGAAAAAATTGATATATAGTATGCACTTTACGTTTGTACATATAAGAACCTGTTGTAATATTACACTCTACGCGTAAAGCGTTCACTTTGAGTATACATAGTTACGGTAAATCAGAGCTATGAGTTTCGTTTGCAGATAGCTCTCATCTAGTAAAGCCTAAAATTAAACTAACAGGATCTATTGGTTTGAAATTTATTTTATGACTACACTGAGTAACACTACGTTGAGTATTATTGTTTGGTTTTAAACTAATTGATATTTGATTAAGCGTTAGCGTTTCTTGTAGAAAACACTCAATATCTTCTATCTCATAGTTACCTGTCGATAAAACGACGTGTTCACCAACGCAAAATTTATTATTGTCTAAGTAGTATAGCAATGCATGTTACAGCACACCTGCGGGGGGTCCGTAACTCTTTGGCCTCCCTGTCTTAACCCTTTCATGTTAATAATAATTGTTAATGTTACCAATTATTATTAATAATATTCGTGGGGGGGGGGTCCCTGGTTTAACCCTTTAATTCCCTGGCCTAACCCTTCCATGTTAATTATTATTAATGTTAATAATTGTTTATAATTTATTGAGGAAGGGTTTTAGGGGTCCTAGTCTCTACGGCTCCTAGTCCCTAGGGACCCTATACCTAGTGCTTTCAGTCTAATTAAATTTAAATGTATTTTTTTAAAAAGTTATAAATATATATTATTAACAATTTATTTGCTACATTGAAAATGAAACGGGTAGAAAATAGCGATGATTTTTGAAAAAAATGAAGAGACAGACCGGAGAATCGAACCGGAGTCCTCTGGGTTGGCAGGCTAGCGCTCTACCACTAGAGCCAATGCCACATGTACCTTAGAGGATGCATATTGTGTATATTAGCTACACATGCATACATTTAGTATAGGGCCTGAGCGTGCGGAGGGGAAGCGGGAGAGCATGCAGTCTATAGTTCTAACTTGAGGATGCGTGCTCTCTCTCTCCCTCTCTCTAGCTCTGACTCAGCAAGGACCACAGCGTGCGGAGGAGGAGGGGAGCGCAAGCTGTCTATAGTTCTGGCCTGATGGGGATGCGCTACTATAGTAATAGTAAACGTGCGCTCTCTCTCTCTCTCCTACGCTCTAGCTAAGCGTGGACCATAGTGCGCGGAGGGGAGCGTATGCTGTCTATAGTCAATGCGTGCTCTCTCCACGAAGGGAACTGTTTTCGTAAGAATGCTAGAGACTACGAATGCAGTCGCTCGACTGACACCTCCTTGAGATGTTCCTCCTAAACATCTCTGCTAGGAGAGAACCTTATTCCCATACGTTCGCCCTTTCTTGCAATCGTTATGATTATTTTACTATTTAAATAAGTACACATTTTATTATTTATTTAATATTTATTATTTTTAATTATACACTGAGTAGAGTACACTTGGTCTATAATCTTTATGTTTAGTGTCTGACATACGAGGGTTGTCCAATAAGTACTTAGCCTCACCGCCCGATGGCGCCACTCTCGCAAAAGAAATATTCTATCACGTAGTACAACCTTCTCGATGGTTACTGTCAAGATTTCGGCCGGATCGGAGTTGTAGTTTATTTTTGAGAGCGTGTGAAAGCAAGTCTGTCCGTTAATGTTTGAAATATGGAAAAAGAGCAGTATCGGTCGGTGATTTGATTCTTGTTTTTGGAAGGAAAATCGCGTAGCGAAATTAAAAAGCGCTTGGATGCTGTGTACAGCGACTCTTGTCCTTCGATGGCGACCGTCAAAAATTGGTTTGACGAGTTTCAACGTGGTCGCACGTCGATTTTTTAAGAGCCACGTCCAGGTGCTCCGAAAACGGCTACCGCGGAGGATAACGTGACAAAAATTCACGATCTCGTATTGGCAGATCGATGATTGAAGGTACGCGAGATACCTAAGATCGTAGGAATCTCAAAAGACCGCGTGGGTCATGTCCTGCATGAAATTTTGGGCATGAGAAAGCTGTCGGCGCAATGGGTGCCGCGTTTGCTCACTCCAGACAACAAGCGCAACCGTGAGACAACTTCAGAGCAATGTCTGACGCTGTTTAAGCGCAATCCGAAGGAGTTTCTGCGTCGTTTCGTGACAGTCGACGAAACATAGATCCACTGGTATACACCAGAGACCAAGGAACAGTCGAAACAATGGACTTTACCCGGCGAAAGTGCTCCAAAGAAGGCGAAGACTGCCCCATCAGCCGGAAAGGTGATGGCCATCGTTTTCTGGGATTCACAAGGTGTGATCTACATAGACTACCTGGAGAGGGGCAAAACGGTAACAGGGCTGTACTACACCGAATTATTGGGCCGATTCGACGTCGAATTGCAGAAAAAACTGCCCCATTTGGCGAAGAAAAAAGTGCTGTTCCATCATGACAACGCACCGGCTCACACCTCCGCCGTGGCCATGACCAAATTGGTCGAATTAGGCTACGAACTGCTGCCCCATCACCATATTCTCCAGATTTAGCCCCGTGCGACTTCTTTTTGTTTCTAATTTTGCTTGTTTTTGTCTTTCCATCATCCTATCGTGTATCTTTTGTATATTTACCACAGCACATACTATATTCTCGCGATTTTGACTATTATATATGCATGATGGTTTAAATTTAAGACTTTAAATCTTCCAATCGCGGATATCTCATTTCAGTTTCGATTTCTAGAATATTTCTGTAATTAAAAAAAACTAATTAAATTCGAATTTAGAATTTTATACTAATGTATATTATTTGAACCTACTTTTCAGGAATAATTTTTTTGAGCCATTGCTTCTTTTGTAACCCTTTCACATAAATATTTCTACAATTCTGTAAATAACTACGAATAGTACAATTTAAAAAATTGTATAGTAAAATACCATTTTTCCATAATATACCTATAAAATTGATTATATTAAATATTTCAAATAAAATCAATGTTAATTAACGATAATAAAAATAAATACCATGATGATGTAATTCCAACCACTTATTAACACTTTGATATTCAATAGGCAGTTTGAGCCAATGATATGGAGGTTTAAAAAGTAGTACTGTAGGTGAAGTATTAGAACATACTGGTAAATAGGCAAATTCCTTACAAATAAAAATAATATTAGGACTCTGAAAGCCTTGAATATCTAAAATATAGTCCATCTTAGAGTATAAATCCAATTTTTCTCTATAATATGTGAACTTGAAGTGAATTAATGCAAATATATTGATGTCGATAATTAGCTTTTATTATAAAGTTTATACTGAGCTGTCAAAATAACGACTATTCAGAAAACAATTTTAACACACACTTTTATACGATCGTAATAAAAGAAACATGCTGCAGCAACTTCAGCTTCGAACGAAGAATTCGCATTCGAATATAGAATTCAGTTCGTCAAGCTCGCCACACCACCCCCCTGCGGAGTAAGAAGGTTCAGGGTTGAAAACGATCTGGCAATCGCACTCTTCTTCCAGATCGTGTGGTAACCACTTTTTCTGATGCTGGCGATGTAGGTGAAAATGTAGGCTTCGGCGGCGATATAAAAACTGTTGGTAACGTTGAATCAGCTATATTTGTCGGTGGAGGTTCTTGATCGTTCAAAATAAAGGCAGGCTTCACTGTGTCAATTGTAACAGTGATTGGCTTATTGTAGATCTTAAGAGTCATTGTTTTATCGTTACGTTCAATAACTTCGTAAGAGCCTCTATATGGTTGTTGAAGAGATCGTAGTTCTGGCCCTTCACGTAACAGAACATGTGTGCAGTGTTCGAGATCTTTGAACACAAATATGCCAGGTTTCGAGTGTCTAGAAGTTGGTACAGGTCGGAGACGAGCCACGTGCTCACGAATTGCAGCAAGAAAAGTTGGAATATCTTCGGAATTAGGGACGCTGGATGAAAACATCTCGCCTGGGAGACGCAAGGGTTCCCCGAACACAAATTCGGCAGATGAAGCTCCAATATCTGGCTTGAACGCAGAACGAATGCCAAGGAGGACAAGTGGAAGAGCATCAACCCAATTGATATGAGATATTGATATATTGATATATTGATCAACCCAATTGATATGAGATATTGATATATTGATATATTGATCAACCCAAATGAGCCATGATAGCAGCCTTGAGGGGTCGATGAAGACATTCAACGAGCCCGTTGGCTGGAGGATGCCAACTGGTGGTATGCTTATGCTTGATGCCGAAATAGTTGTCAAAAACATGAAATAAAAATGAAGTAAACTGTGAACCTCTATCTGATGTAATAATTTCAGGACAACCAAAACGAGAAATCCAACAGTTAAGGAATGCTTGAGCGACGGTTTCCGCAGTGATGTTCTCAAGAGGGTAAACTTCCGGCCATCGAGGAAAACGATCGACGACTGTCAGACAGTACCGAAGAAAACGAACAGAAGGCAAAGGACCAATGATATCGACATGCACATGCGAAAAACGGTGAGCTGGAAGGTCAAAAGTGCCAATAGATGACTTCACATGACCTGAGATCTTAGAGCGTTGACAATCCAAGCAAGCTCGAGCCCAATTGTGACAATCCTTACGCATGGAAGGCCAAACAAAACGATCGCTAATAAGTTTATCGGTCAAATTGGCACCTGGATGACTAAGGCTGTGGAGCTGTTTGAAAACTTGACGACGAAATGGAGCAGAGAGAAAAGGTCTTGCTCTACCTGTAGAAACGTCACAATATATTAGTGTTTGACACCCAGGAACTTCGATCTTTTTAAGTTCGAGAGACGTAGGTTGGTTTAGAAAAGTCTTGATTTCTTCATCCATTTCTTGAGATCTTGCCAGCGCCTCCAAAGGTTTGGAAATTGCCTCTAAGCAAGAATGTGTGTCTGCAACAATATTGCTTGCGCCGCTAATATGCTGAATATCTGTGGTGAATTCAGAAATAAATACGACCTGATTACGTTGTACAGAAGAGGTAATTTATCACGTTTTTGTTCAAAAACATTAATTAGAGGCTTGTGATCAGTGAAAATGGTGAAGTGATGACCTTCAAGAAAATGACGAAAATGTTGAACTGATTCGTAGATAGCAAGGAGTTCCCGATAATACGCTGGTAACTCTACTTGTTTAGCGGTCAATTTTTTTGAAAAAAATGCGAGGGGCTGCCAAAAACCATTAACAAATTGATGAAGACCTCCGCCAATAGCAAAACCCGAAACGTCAGTAAATAAAGCAAGAGGTACGTCAAGTCGAGGATGGACTAAAAGAGTGGCCGAAGAAAGACAATCTTTACAAGCTTGAAAATCTTCTTTAAGTTTTTGAGTCCACGTTACTTTTTGTTTGCCTTTGAGAATGGGGTTACTAATGCCATCATAGAGAGGAGCTTCAAACTCTGATGCATGAGGAATAAATCGTCGATAGAAATCCATCATTCCGAGAAAACGTCGTAAGTCCTACGCAGTTTCCGTTAAAGAAAAATTTTGAATTGCCGTGATGCGCTCTTCAGGAGCTTGAATACCATCAGAAGATACAATATATCCGAGAAAATTTAGTTTTGGCACACCAAAGATGCATTTTGATGCGTTAACCACAATTCCGTAACGAGAAAGACGTTCAAAAATAATTTTGAGATGTTTATGCTCATCAACAGAATGAGAGAAAACCAAAATATCGTCAATGAATACGAAGCAAAAATCTAAACCGGACAAAACTTCATCCATGAAACGTTGGAACGTTTGACTAGCATTACGTAAACCAAATGTCATGAAAGGGAATTCAAAAAGTCCGAAAGGTGTAGAAATAGCAGTTTTGCAAATATCGTCTTTAAAAACAGGAATTTGATTGTAAGCTTTTACGAGGTCTATTTTTGAAAAAAAAATATTGCCGGCTAAATTGCACGTGAAATCATGTATATGCCGAACCGGATATCGATCTGGAATAGTGCGACGATTAAGAAGACGATAATCACCGCAAGGCCTCCAGTCCGACTCGCCTTTCGGAGCTAAGTGCAACGGCGACGACCAGCAACTCAATGAGGGACGAGTTGTGCCAGCTTCAATCATATCGTTGAATTGCTGCTTGGCGATCTTGAGTTTATCTGGAGCTAAACGTCGAAACGTGCTGGAGACTGGAGGACCTGGAGAAGTGCGAATATAATGAACAGTTTCGTGCTTTATGTCACGATGTTTACCGCAAGGACGAGTCAAATCAGGAAATTTAGCGAGTATGTGCGAAAATTCAGGTGAAGAAGATAAATCAACCGTCTTGACACTAAGCTGAAAAACGTTCCTTACTTGAGCATCTGTTTTTAAATTAGTAGTACCATCGACAAGAAGCTTCATACAACAATCAGGTAGCAAATGGAAGTGCGACTGAAAATCGGACCCGATGATTGGCACATCAACGTCAGCGATGACAAACTTCCATTTAAATTCCCTACGCAAACGAAAATTGAGATTGAGCGGGAGGAAACCGTACGTCTTAATTTTACTACCGTTTGCTGCAATCAAGTCAAAATTAGAGGCTGAAAAACGCTCACGAAGAAAACGACGAGGATATACAAATATCAGAGCCAGTGTCAATAAGAAAACTTCGTTTGGAGGTCTGATCCGTCACAAAGAGACGGCTTCCCGGAGACAAACACTTCGACGCCGTCCTTACGAACTGCCGTCGGCGTTTCCCGATTTCCAACTGCACGGGCTGATGCACTTCTTAGCCTTGTCATGGAACTTGTGATGGTACCAGCAGAGTCGTAAAGAATCAGAGCCTGAGTCTTGCCTAGAGTGGCTGCGTTGACGTCGTCCACGATTGTTGCTGCGATTCTCATTTCTGCAAGAATCGCGCGTCGAAAGCTCTGCAACTTGTTTGCTCAGAGACTCAGTGGCGCAAATCAGCGCGCTATGCGACGACTCTTGCTCGACAGAAGTTGATGAAGATGCAGCTCTGACGGATAGAGAAGTTGCCGGTGATACCTCGATAATTTTGTCAGCGATTTCGAATTGATTAACGAGGGTCAAAGCAGGTTGGGCAGTTATTTGGGTAGTGATGATCGCCTGGACGTAAGATGGAAGGCGCTGGAGCCAGAATTGACGCAATAGGTTATCCGGAATAATCGTTGTGCCAATGAGCGTGTGAAGATAGCGAAGGAACTGCGAGGGTTTGCGGTCGCCGAGTTCCTCCTCACTGATCAGACGCTTCACACGCTGCTCTTCTGGAGCAGACAAACGCTCAATGAGTTTACTGCGCAAATATGTATATGGAGTCTCGTTAGGAGGATTGCTTATGATATCCTCGACTTCCACAGCAACGCGCGTCTCCAATTGCGAAATAACATAATGAAATTTCGTTACTTCATTATTGATGTTTGAGATGAAAAATTGGGAATCCGCTTGCGCAAACCACAAGCTTGGTCGATCGGACCAAAATGGCGGTAGCTTGACAGCAACCCGATGAACTGCTGGCGCGGGGATGAGGTTAGCCTGGGTGAGCGCACCGCTTGCTGTGAAGCCTGCTGAAAGCGCTCCATTCTGGTGCTGCTGTTGTTGCTGCTGCTGTTGGGCGAGTTGCTGAACGAGGCGCTCGTTGTCGGCACGAAGTTGATCGAGTTGCGCACGAATGTTGGCTGCTTCAACCTCGTCATCACATGGGAATACCATTCTTCTTTTTTGTAGTATTTATTTTCTTTTGTAGTTGGGGTCACCAATGAAGTGAATTAATGCAAATATATTGATGTCGATAATTAGCTTTTATTATAAAGTTTATACTGAGCTGTCAAAATAACCACTATTCGGAAAACAATTTTAACACACACTTTTATACGATCGTAATATACATCGTAATAAAAGAAACATGCTGCGGCAACTTCAGCTTCAAACGAAGAATTCGCATTCGAATATAGAATTCAGTTCGTCAAGCTCGTCACAAGCTGAATCGTATCTCAAAGCAATAATGACTATACGAGGTGTGTTCAAAAAGTAAGATGACTTTGTATTTTTAAGAAAAAATATTTATTTATTTATCTATATTATTGTTGTCCCCTTCAAAGTAATCCCCCTCAGATACAATACACTTATGCCATCGGTTTTTCCAATCCTCAAAGCACTTCTCATAAGCACTTTTCAGTATAGCCTTGAGCTCTTCCAGCGATGCAGTCTTTATCTCTTCAATCGTTGCATCTCATCTTCATTCATCTTCATCTCCGTTTCATCGACCTTTCATAGGTCTCTTTAGTTTTGGGAACAAGAAAAAGTCACATGGGGCCAAATCCGGTGAATATGGTGGATGAGGCATGATTGTGGTGTTGTTTTTGGCCAAAAAATCTCTCACAAGAAAAGATGAGTTGCAAGAATGGTCAGCCTCCGTGCGCCTTGGGCTGGTCTCTGCTAATTTTTCTGGGTTCTTTCTCGGTAAAGAAAGCCGGCGCTGACTTTCACAGGCCGAAGTTCGCGCTGGTTGGGGGAGGTGTATACAAAGAATCGGACACTTTAATTCAATTATACTACATATGGCGATCTCATTTATTGACGCCTTTTCACAAATATCGCTACAAGATTAACTTCGCCGCGGTGAGCGCACTCGCTCAGCCTTTCCGCGACCAGAGTTCGCGGGATCACGCTAGCGAGATCGCTCAGCGTGCGCGATAAAATCAAAATACGCATTAGCGTATTACATTAGTCCGTAATCGAGCGAGAGCTGGCGCGAGAGAGATAAACTGGTCTTAGACCCACCGGATGCCGACGGTCCGTCGGCAGAGAGGCGACGCCGGCGAAAGCGGCGAAAGCGTAGACCCGCTGGAAACTGCGCCCTGGCGACGATGGAAGCTGCTGCAGGAAGGGCCGCAGCACGGCCTTTGCCCCGTGGACGGCTAATGGTCGCTAGTTGTCCGGGCTCAGCTTTGAACACCTGGTTCTCCTGGCAAGTGGTAGTCGCACCGCCGGCAGTCGTTCCTTTCCGGCCGAAATATCGTCTCGTCCAGTCTCTCCTTAGGCGGCCCTAATTACTCGAGAGCTCGCGCCTAACTGCCCTTTCTCTCTCTTAATTTCTAAGCCTCGCGCCGCCGCGCTCCCACTTCTCTCGCCGTCAAAAATCAGTCAAAATCGCTCTCTCTCTCTCTCGCTCTTCTCGCTCTCACTCGCAATCACGGCGACACCTCGCCGATCGTCGCGCTCCTATCTCCAGATCCTGCAACGACACAAGTATGTAGTCGCTATATAGCGTACACTTGGTCGCTGCGTTCACGCGAGGAGAGTGCCGCACACAGGGCCAACGAACATCGCTATAACCCTGTCACAGAGTGAGCAGGGGCATTATCTTGATGCAAAAGCCATGAATTGTTTTTCCAAAATTCTGGGCGTTTTCTTCGTATTGCTTCTTGCAAACAGCGCATAACTTCAAAATAATACTGTTTATTGACCGTACGTCCATATGGTAAGAACTCCTGATGCACCGCGCCATGGTAATCGAAGAAAACAGTGAGCAAAACTTTGACATTTGATCGAACTCGGCGTGCTTTTTTCGGTCTTGGCTCATGTGGGACTTTGGTTTCGATATCATAACCATATACCCATGATTCGTCACCAGTTATGATCCTTTTGAGTAAATCTGGGTAGTCGTTGACATCATTCAACAGTTCTTGAGCGATGCTCATGCGACGGTTCTTTTGGTCAAAATTTAGCAATTTCGGAACAAACTTCGCTGACACACGTCTCATGCCCAAAACGTTAGAAAAAATTTCATGGCACGAGCGATTACCGACATCTTCAGCAACTTCTCTGCTAGTTTTCTTCACTGCTTGAACGTTTTCATCAGTTGTTGACGTGCTTGGGCGTCCAGAGCGATGCTCGTCATTGGCATCTTCCCGGCCATCTTGGAAAAGTTTGTACCACTTGTAAACATTTTTTTTACTCAGAACAGTTTCACCGTATGCCACCGTCAACATTTCAAGTGTTTTGGAGCACTTTATTTTATTTTTTACACAAAATTTTTATGCAAATCCTTTGATCCATATTTTTCGATAGCAAGAAATCGCCGAGCACGCAAAATACTTATAACCTTTACGCCTCTCACAACCAAACAAAAAATGCTATACACTTGAAACTTGGTACAGATGTTCGGAAAGAGTATACCAACATAACAAAACCGTAATCGAAAGTACGTTGCCCGTGAAATTTGAAAAGTCACCTTACTTCTTGAACACACCTCGTGTTTTTATTCTGAATATCTATATAAACCTTTTAATACTAAATTAATAAGTTAGATGGTGCTGATAGTTTGCTGGCAGCGCCCTCCCTTAACCTTTAAAAACCGCTTTGGCCTAGTAAAAGAGCCCAGTCTCTCGAGACAGCCTGCGAGCTAAGCTTGCCTTACCTTACTCCATTTATAAGTATTTCCTCAGTAGTTAGTTGAATCCTCATTGATTTGTGAAACAAATCAATATTAATTACCAACTGAGAACAAGTTCATTTTAGAGGTGTTCACTATCTTTTCCATCCTTTCATCATAATAATCCTTCATACAATTATAGACAAGTGACTCTAGAAGACAATAAAAACTAGATAACTAACAACATGACTTCTATCGCCTATTTTGAAGAAACAATTAAAAATTTGTGGCAAGCTTATAATCATTCGAACGATTTAGATATAGACGATTGTATTAGATGGAGAAATATATCAATTAATGCTATAATTTTAATTAATAAATTTATGAAACGACATGATTTAAGTAGAGCTATTCGACAAAGATGTCAAACTTGTGCTTGTCATTTGAATTCTATTGAAGTCAATTTAAGTAAAACTATAAAAGTTGGTGGAAGTATACATCCATTAACAGCCATTCAGAATGAAATTCCAGGAGATGGATTTTGGAGGCCAAATCATTCAGTCTTTGAAAATCGAATTAGTACAGTCTATATAGTTAATCAAGATCATTTAGATATAAAAACATTTCTAGTTGCCGCATATCAACTTTTACAAATTAAAATACCTCAATTTCTTACTATCCATAATAACTTAAAAATAAATACAGAAATGGCATCACAATTTAGCATAAAGAAAAATCAAGAAGAAGATATTCAAATCAAGTATTTTAATACAAAAAATGTTTGCATTTATAAGACTACTGATCTTAATAGATGGTTTAAAAATAACGTTAAAGATATTATACTTAAACAAATCGAAGAATTTCAAGAAAGAGACTGAGGCTGGTCGTTAAAAACTATTGTTGGTCTCACTATTAATATAAATAAGTATAATCCATTTAAACCATGCTCATATATACCATTACCATCAAGCATAGATAATAAAAGAGACTTTGTTAATGTTAAAAATGAAGACAATGAATGTTTTAAATGGGCTATACTTTAATGCCTTCATCTAGTTGAAAGAAATCCAAACAGAGTAATTAAGTACCAAGCCCTATGACAATGAACTGAATTTTGACGGTATAAGCTTTCCTGTAAAAACAAAAAGTATACGTGTAAATTTATATATACTAAAAAAATATGGATCGAAATATGAAGTCTCACCGTGCTATATAACGAAATTAAAACAAACTAAACATGTGAATTTACTCTTAATACAAAACGAATATATTGATGAAAATGATACTAATAGACCACGAATATCAATAGATGATAAAAATTCAAATTAGAAACTCACTACGTATGGATTAAAACTTTACCTGCTCTCCTTCGTAGACAAGTTACTCAACATACTGAAAAAATTTATCTTTTTGAACGTTGTCTTCATTGTTTTACTAACGAGGAAAATTTGAAATCTCATGAAGTTAACTGTTCCAATAAATAAGTGTCGGATTAAATTACCTAACGATGCCACTTTAAAATTTAAAAATTATAAGCATAATGAGGAAGTTCCATTTGTTATATACGCCGATTTTGAATGTCTGTGAAAACCTATAGAAGATCTGAATAGAAATCTCAATGTTCAAAGATATAGTTTTCAAGAAAATGAAACTTTTAGTTTTGGATTATATGTAAAATGACGTTATGACGATAGAAAGTCTATATATGTCATATAGAAAAAAGTTAAATGAAGATGAATCAACAGGATCATGGTTTATAAAGCAATTGATGTCTCTGATAATCGAGTTACATCAGATATGTAACAATGCAATAGAAATAGATTTATCATTTATTAATGTACGGCAATAAAATGTCATATTTGCATACGATATTTCCAAGAGCAAGATAAACGAGTTCAAGATCATTGTCATTTAACAGGAAAATTTAGAGGTGCAGCTCACAATCATTGCAATTTGAATTATAAAAATGCTGCTTTTCTACAAGTCGTATTTCATAACTTTAGAGGCTATGACTCACATTTTATTATGACAGAAATTGCTACTAATTCAGAATTTGAAGATATAAATATTTGAAGAAATAAATAATTCGTTGAAAACAAGAACAAATCGTTCACAGAAGAAGTTGAAAACAGTTCGAATTAGCTTTCGTTCGTAGCTTCGAGATCGTAGACCTTTCAAGAGACCGCGTGGGTTGTCCTGCTTGAAATTTTAGGTATGAGAAAGCTGTTGGCGCGATGGGTGTCGCGTTTGCTCACTCCGGATAACAAGCGCAACCGTGAGACAACTTCAGAGCAGTGTCTGACGCTGCTTAAGCGGAATTCGAAGGAGTTTTTGC